ACATATGGCTTTAGTTTTGTTCTTAAACGCCAGTGTTTTTTCTCATTTCTTCAGTCTCTAGAACAGATGAGCAAATACTGTTTGGATCAGGAGATCCCCTTTCCTAAGATTGTGCTGACTGAAGAAGACAAGAAGAACCCAAAGGAGTGCTACCTTTTTGAGGATAAAGAAAACCCAGTAGCTCCAATCGTACTTCACTTTCCATTGGTGAATGATTCTTTTAGGGAGTACAAAAAACCTGGTTAGTATTTTACCTTTCAGTCAGAATATATCAAATTTGTTACCAGAAAAAAAGGAACTTCGGCGATATTCAGTTTTATCCTTGTTGCCCTGCCAAACCAGTGTTCTTAATGGCATAAAAAAATCCCTTTAAAGAACAGGGCATTCATTGTGTTGTCTCCCCACAACAGATACTTTCCAGTACCACACAAGAGCTTGAGACCTTGCCCTCATCTCCCTGATCTTTTGTTAGTGGTTCTTAATGTTATCATGCTTTTCATGAAAAAGCTTTCCTAAATAGGGGAAAGAGTTGGTAAAATAGACTTTAAATGAGCATAATCATTAACTTTAATCCAACAGAGTATTTAAGTGCACTTATTGTTGTTGTGTGCCTTCAAGTCATTCCTGATTTATGACAACCCTATCACAGGATTTTCTTGGCAAGTTTCTTCAGAGTAGGTTTGCCATTGCCCAGTGGGTTTACATGGTTGAGACAGGATTTGAACCCTGGTCTCCAGAGTCTTAGTCCAATGCTCAAACCATTACACCACAAATCATTGAGATTCTGCATGTGATACTTTGTGGAGCCGGTGAACCAGACTTAAAACACAATTCTATATATTGGATTTTTTACCAGTCTCTCTCTTCCATGGCATGATCACTGCATGTAAGGCTTGTGGCTGCCCCACCAACAAAATTCACCCCCATCACCCCCAGGAGACTTTATTTATTTACTTTGAACACAATAACAATGGCGCAACTGTAGAACATTACATTGATCTCCTCCAGATCTCACAGATCATAGGAGCAAAGAATGTTCTGATGGCAGAAGGGAACTTTCTCCCTATGGAAGCCAGACTGACACCTTCCTTAGTGTCATCCTTTCAGCATGTAAATAATTTGTTTATTCAACATGCCCTAGCAAGAAGGCTTTTAATAGTATTTTCTACTGGATTTGCTTGTTGCCTTTTAATGAGTTTAATGAGTTTAATTCTATTTTAACTTTCTGTATTATTATTTTTTACTGCTATGTGGTTTTACAAGGGGGTATCGTAAAGTTTTAATTATCACCTTTAATTTTTTTTGACAGAAAGTTTGTTTTGATTTGTAGTTGTTAATTTATCTCTATGTAGTCACCATACAGATTTACACATTTCTCCCACTGTTTTTTGACCCTCCGAATACTGTTATTGTAGAAGTCTGCAGATTGCGCCTTACGAGGATTTTACACTTTAGTCACTTCTGGCACAACCTGTCACAAAAATAAAGGACATAATGAGCTGATTTTCTCAACTTCATGCACTTAGGTACATTGACAAAAATTTATCAATATACCATAATAACTTCCAGGTGATAATTATTACGTTACGATATCTCTTTGTAAGGTGCAGTCTGCAGACTTCTACAATATCTGGTATTCGGAGGTTCAAGAAATGCTGGGAAAAATGTGTAAATCTGGATGGTGACTATGCTACCTGGTATCTCTTGTTTTAATTTTTGTAAGTTATCTTGATGCAGGGAGAAAAGTAGGGTTTTAAATAAAATGAAATTAATTTCTGCTGGCAGAAGAGGTTTGTGCCTGATTTTAATTCTCTACATCTGGCACACTGTTAAGTTAGGACTGAATTGTGAGAGAGCAAGATTCTTCAAATACAATGATACTTACCTCCAAGTAGACATGCATAGGATTTTGCTTTTAGAGTCTTAGGTTGTGTGGCTGGCAAACTGCAGCCACATAAAGCCCATGAAATTATTTTGTCTGCTATCTCATTCCACTTCACCCTCCTGATAATACTGTCTGATATCAATAAAGCATTCAATGTGTGCGCACAGAAGAAAGGAAGAGCAAGTAAATGGTAGGGCTGTTGCATGAAGAAGATAGAGAAAAGGTCTCCCATGATATCCTTGCAAAAAAAGCTAGTAATATGTTCACTATACAATGTAACTGTTAGGTGGATTTGCAATTAGTTGACCAACTGAACCCAAAGGATGCTCACCACTGGCTCTTCTTCATCCTGAAGAAAAGTGACTAGCAGGGTGCCACTGGGTTCTGTTTTGGGCCGAGTGCTCTTCAACATCTTTATCAATGATTTGGATGGTAGAATAGAAAGCATGCTTATCAAATTTACAGTGGGGAAAGGGGAAGCTAATAGACTAGATGACATGATCAGATTTCAAAATGACCTTAACAGATTAGAAAGCTGGGCCAAAATATGACCACCTGTGAACCCTTACCAGAAATATCTTAGAGTTCTGGAATATTACATATGGTAACCTGAAATGGTCCACAATTTAGTGTAGAGAATGACATGACACCAACAATACTAAGTTTGGGAATCCATATATGTGAATATATATGTGAATCTCTTAAAACAATAACCTGTATGCATTTCTATCTTCTTTTGTGCAGGAATTAATCGCACAGCTGCAGAAATGACTCAGGGAGAAGTGGAGTTGAATAGCTTACTATCACCATATAAAATGACAGATTTGACATACACAGAGGATGAATTCAACAAATTGCTAAATCTATGTGACTACAACATCCAAAACAATAGATTACTGATTCTACAAGCTTTGTGGACAGCAACAGAAAGAAGAAATGTCAGCAGACTGTGAATCAAACCAGGCAGGATTTCAGGAATTATTATTTTTTGTCTATTTTGGAAGACCTAAAATAGAAAATGGCCATTGCACTCTGAACACTACTGTGGAATATTTTGGTTCATTCTTTAGTATTTTTGTTAATACTTTCAACCTCCATTGTACATATCCTAGCCAAACATTTTGGTAAGCTCCAGGTAATAAAGCGCTGTGTAAGGTACATGACTTTTGCATGAGGCTGCCTCTGATGACTGCCTTGTCAACTGCAGTTAGTGCAAAATGTAGTTGTTAAGATGATTTAATTGGGGCGTATAAATCCTACGTTTATATTACACCAGTGCTATATACTAACTAGAGGGAGCAGGCCACATCAGGTGACACTCTAATGCAGTGCTTCCCAAACTTTGACCCTCTAGATGTTTTGTACTTCAGTTCCAGAAGTCTTGATTGTTGCCCAAACTGGCTAAGGCTTCTAGGAGCTGAGGCCCAAAACACTTGAAGGATCAAAGTTTGGGAACCGCTGCTCTAGGGACTAATGACACCACTGCTCCCCAAACATCTGCCTGTGGCATTTGCCTGTGTCCCTTTAAATCTCTGAAAAGATGGTGTGAGTGGGGTAAGGTTCTGTGGGAAGAGAAAGGGGAAGCATCAGGTTTTTAATTTTTTAAAATTAAAATTTTAAGGTTTACATTCTTAATAAAAAGTAGTTTTAAAAATTCTTCACACATTTTCTTTAAAAAAATCACCTCTTACCAAAATTTCACTTTAACAACATGAAACTACGTACATATAAATACATTTTGGCTGTATGATATTGTAAATTAAAGGTATAATTTTATTTTGTTGTTGTTTATGTCACAACTATTACCATTACATCCAGGGATATGCTGTAATTTATGACTCACATTAGTACAAAAAAATTAAAAAATACTAAGGATTTTGTATGGTGTAGTCTGAAAGGAGATCAGTGGCACCAAGAGTTACCACACTTGGCCAAATCTCAGTTCAAAACCAAATATGAAAATAATTCCACTGACAAACAAATGCCTGACAAAGCTCTAATCAACCCCAAAAGAGACACCTAAACACCTGAAGAGCTATCAGCTCATCCAATCACAATTACTTAATAATGTATTTTAAAAATTATTAATATGTTTATATTCCATATAAATACAAGATGTTAGGGGAGATGCAAGGAAAAACCAGTTTAAGACTATTGAAAACAATTAAAAAAGACTTTAAACAGGTTCAATAACTATATATCTAAAGTACACAATTTATAAAATGACAGCCAATGTGGTGGTGTGGTTTGAGCGTTGGACTATGACTCTCAAAACCAGGGTTCAAATCCCTGCACAGTCATGGAAGCCCCAGAAGGAACACTGAAAAGCTTCACAGTACAAAAATAAGTTTTATGTGTTGATTAACAACATAAGAAGGACTGGATTTCTAAGATGTACACATGGGCAATGAGTTCCGGGATCATCCCAAAGTGCTCTCCCTGCCCTCCACATACTGCTCCCCTCCTGCACTACTTCCCTTGCACAATGCTTGCATTTCTGCTAAAAGCAACTATGAGAAAAACCTCCTTCCTGAGACTTTGGAGGCAGTCAATAACAGTCAGAGCAGGGAGAGGCAGTATTGGGCCACACGGCAATTATGTGACTCAGAAGAACAGAGAGAAGAGCCTGAAACAAGTTCCTTCACCCTGTCTACTGGCTAGTCAAGCTCTGCTGTCTTAGTATCAAGGCAATTTTATGATTATTGGCACAGTGTTTTAAATGCTTCTAATGTTCTACTATGAAAGCCAAGAAAACAAAAAGGCAGATTGCCTGAAGGGCCAAACAATCTAAAGCTACATTATATGACCGAATGGGAGAGGCAAGCAAGCGTAATAAGCCTTTTGAAATGCAGTCATTAGGATGGCAGGTTTAAGGCTTGCAGATGTACTTTTCAGAGTAATTGTTCTATGATGAAAACAGAGGTGGGAGTCATGGGGCACTCCAAATGTTGTTGGACTGCAAAATCCAAAAACTCTAGGCCATGTACCCAATGGTGAGGAATGCTGGAAGTTGCAGTCCAACATCTGGAGAGGCCCATGATTCCCATCCCTGAATTAAAGGAATACTAGACCCTACAATTCTACATGTGCCAAATTCCTCACTGAAGTTCAGTCTAGATTAGATGCAGCAATCATTTGTCTATGGTTGGATTGCAAATCCTGCCAACCTTAGCCAGCACAACCAACGGTGAGGAATGCTTTAAGCTGTGGTCCAACAGCATTGAGAGAGGCACATGATTCCACCCTTGATCACCACTCTTTTGACTTCAGTGCAACATCTCCCTAGCCAGAGAGAGTCATCATATTCCAGACCTGATCTACAAAGTTGATTCTACAGCATGCAACAGAATGAAGCAGAAGAGTCCTAATATGGGGCAGTGGGTTGCATCCCTTCTGATTCCAAAGGAATTAGAATCACATTTGTTTAAATGATCCCCATAGTAAACAACAACACCACTCCCTGCAGGTAGAAACCAATACACTAAGGCTGTGCTGAGTCAGAACCTTACAGAATGTTATTGTGCATTTACTGCATTCTTCATTTGTTGTTAAACCATAGAACAAAGCCACTTATTCAGATATCTGGGCATTGTTTTCAGTGAGTCTCTCTCTTGGAAATGGCAGAGGGAAGCAGCAAAGCTGTAAGCTGACAAAACAGTTGGAGCACTGATGAAATTTTATTATAATCAGGGTGGTCAGCTGATTGAACCTGCTCTAAAAATTTTCAGTAGCAAAGTAATAGCACAGAAGCTTTATGGTGTGGAAATTTGGGGCTTAGATATCAATATTTGCAAAGCCTTAGAAATATTACAGAACAAATTTCTTCGAAAACTGTATGCACTACCAACTGGAACTCCTGCAGCTTTTTTGTGTACTGAATCTGGCTGCCCATCTGTTAAAACAAGAGTAGATTGTGCACAGATAAGGTACTTCAAATAAATTGCAACTGATAGTCTTCCAGTATTGTGTTACATGGAAATGTGTAAAAACCAGTTTTGGAAAGCCTTCAAATTCTTTTAGTTATCACTCTGAGTTGAACTCTGTCTTTGGCATGGATAAGAGGCAATTAAGAGACTGGCTATTCTGGATAGATTCAAGAAGAGGTTTACAGTCAATTAGGACCTCAAAATTTTCCCCATGGTTCTCCTTTTTGAAAGCAGAACATTTTAGAGCAAGATATTTGACCAAACTCAAGCCATGTAGTCAGTTACAAATTGCCTTCACTGAACTACGATTTCAAGTAATGCCAACGGTAGTTCTAGATGGATGTTATGACAAAGTGCTATTTGAAAACAGACTATGGGGGGATGCAGATGGGTGGCCCTGGGAAGCAGAGGATTGGGGCTGCTGCTACCACAGAGCCAGCAAAAGGGTGCCCTAAGAGCTGCTGTGCGGCTCTTTAGCGCCCCTTCCAGCGCAGTGTGTTAGGACGCTGTGCTGGAAGGACGTCTTGATGTTGCGCAAGGATGCGTAATGGTGTCCTCGACGTAGGGTTGGGGCGCCCAGCATGTGGCTGCCCTTCCCCATCCCTGCCTCCAGGCCAGCCCTTTGGGCCAGTCTGTAGAGGCCCTATGTATCTGCAGTCTGAGATGGAGGACATTATCCATTACATGCTAATTTGTCCTCTGAATAGCAATCCTAGAGAAAAATTCCTAACACCCTTGCTGACAAATGGAAGTGGGAACTCTCCTGCAGATTCAGTTCAATTTCTTTTGAGTGATACCAATAGTTATGTAACACATAAACTGGCTCTTTTTCCTATGGCTACAAAAAAGATTAGGAAGAGAGAGTTAAATAAAATTGCCATTTTGCCATAAATTGTCATGGAGATCAAAAGTATTAATTAGATTTTTATGATGGTAATGTATAAGTTTATCAATAGGTGTTTATCTTTTATAAGCAATAATTTAAACTATATGTTAAATGATGGGTTGTCTTTTGCTCTTTTGTACTTTTGCACCTTTTGTTTTAAATGTTTTGTGTATTTTGATAAGCTTTTTGTCATGGCCTTGGCTAGTACAATAAACAGTTTGATTGATTGATATTTGTTGTTGTTGTGGGTTTTCAAGTCATTTTCTACTTATAGTGATTCTAAAGCGAACCCATCACAAAGTAAGCTTGGCAAGATTTGTTCTGGGTGAGTTTGCCTTTGCCTTCCTCTGAGCTGAGAGAGTGTGGCTTGCCCAAGGTCATCCAGTGGATTTCCATGGCTGATTCAAACCTTGGTCTCCCAACACTCAACTCACTACACCACCCTGGCTCTACTCCTTATTTATAGGAAGGGATTTTGTTCAGTTTTTAAAAGATGGGTATTTAAAATGTGGCACATAGGAGAGCAGTCCAACATGGTAAAATTCATTCAGTTGTCTTGCAGTTTTTTGCCATTTTTGATTCTACAGGTGTGGATTCAGAAGCAAAATTCCATACTTGCTGAGTACAGAATCCTTTTGCTAAATGGAGAAAATACTGAGTCTCACAGGTGAAATACTAGCAGCACACTTGAGAAGTTAATAATAATAATAATAATAATAATAATAAAAAACAATCTGTTGAAAACAATTGGGGCGGCTTACAACAATTAAGAATACATCAAGTTAGTGACAGCACTCCTTAATAGTTCAAATAGCTTGGGCTCTCTCTAACCTGGGCTTTATAATGGATTCAGACCTAGTGGATGTAACCATAGACATACACTTCAAGGGGTCTGCAGTGCTCATGCTTCACCTCAGCAGCCTGTGTCAGCCACATTGGTAATCCCCTTATGGATTTTGTTTGAACATCAGCCACTGTTTTGTCTCTTTTGAAAGAACAGTCATGTAGTCTGTTTTAAAGAAACCTGGGGGAGGGGGGAGACAGACAAAAGAAAGAAAGAAAGAAAGAAAGAAAGAAAGAAAGAAAGAAAGAAAGAAAGAAAGAAAGAAAGAAAGAAAGAAAGAAAGAAAGGAATCTTGTGAACTGTTAAGACTGATTTCAAAGGGTTCATTCAGCATAGCATCTATAAACAGACACATGTCTACCAGACTGCTAGTGGTTAAATGGTTTCTGAAGTGTTAAAGTAACCATTCTGGATTTTTTTTTTACCCTGGAGGAACCCTTGAAATAATATTCAGGTCTCAGAGAACCCTTGGATTAAAATTATTGTATCAATAGCTTTTAAAAAGTTTATTTTTAAAACTATCTCTTGCAGAAACCCTAGCAACCTTTCAATTAATCATATATTTCTAGAAAACCCTGGTTGTGAAACCCTGTGTTAAGCTAATACATTTTGCTTGTTGGAAAAATCCATCTGAAGGTTTATGAACAGCTTTTCATTTATCTCTTCTTGTGCCCTATTTAATCCTGATCCCACCAGTTCGATAGCTATGTCCTGTGCTCTATTTTTGTGGCTTGAATATTGTACTCCATCAATCAGGAAATCACCCACCTTTCAACACCTTATTTTCTGATGACTTGCTCTTTTACCCATTCTAAATTGAATTCAGTATCCATATCCATTTGACTTGTGGTTTGCTCTTTTGACCACATGCCATATGATGGATTCTGGTTACACTGCACTGTAATTTAAAAGAGTCAAAAGACTGGAGCAGGGTGTGTGTGTCTCTTCTGGGCAGATGCCACATTTTCCTAGGAAAAGGTCCAAGAGTCCAGCCTGATGGATGCACTGGACCCTTTCTGCTCTCTCCTCTACCTTGCCTGGGGAAAGGCAGAGGATGTCGTTTCTGCTATATGACAGTGGGGGGGGGGGGGGAGTCTCTAGGAATTATTGCATTGAAGCCCTTGTGTTTTCCAATGGGAAATTCCCCAAATCTCACGCAAAAATAATGGGAAATAATAATGTGGCTGGTGCAACTGTAGGTGAGGGAAGGAGGAGGAGGAGGAGGAGGAGGAATAATAATAATAATAGCCTAGTTGCTCAGTAGCTTTTTGACTGAGCAGTGGCACTGACAAGGGCAAAAATTACCAGAGTCAACGTTGACTCTTTGCTAGGCATCAGCTCCCTGGGAAAGTGAGGAAGGCGGAGGAATAACAAGCCTAGTCGCTTAGTGGCACCTTAGCTGAATAGCTTTCAACTTCTGGGTTTGAACAAAGATCATGGTGTTGTGGTTTTTCTTGCTGTCAACTCCCTGGCAAAGGACAGGACAATCCTGCAGTTGCATTGGCTACATTATTCCCTTCAGCTTAGTGGGAAAGCACAAGAGCTCCAACATAGCAATTCCTTAAGTCTCTCTTTCCCTTCCACCATTGATGAAGGAGACATTCTTCCCTAGCAGGAATCACAGGGTGGGTGCAAATCACATAA